AACTTTTTTTTCAGGTTCCATATACACATATTCTCTACGTTCAACATCAACCGCACGAAGATTAAAAGAAGCATTTCCATATTCAGTTAAGTAGTTATTCCAAATTTCAGTACGTAATGTACTAATGGATTTGTTCTTAGAAATACTAATTCCATTTGGCATACTTCGATACCCAAAAAATGGACCAGTAGGAATAATAAGAATTGTGAGATGGATTCTATCATAAACCATTTTCTGTTAAAATATGGAGATCTCATTAGTTAGAATTTCTTAATGTTTTTACGGCAAACAATAGATTATAACAAGGACGTACCTTTTTCTTTTGGATAGGGCAATAACGGAACAAATAGTACTGTTCTGAATGTTTATATACCTGTTGAATAATTCGCAAATTAACACCCCACTAATGTGATGCAAATACTTAGCTTATTTTGTTCGTTATTCATAATCGCTGATGTATAGTTTTCAAATAATAAAGTGGTTGATTCACACGTTTTAAGATGTCATATCCACATGTTTTCGCTGGTCTGTTATACAAATATGAGTCGCCCGATTTTAGCTATATGCACTATGTTCAATTTTTGTAAAAAAGATTCGATTTGTCATTACACATTATAATGAGGCTTTGCCCCTACGTATTATGTTGTATGTTCTCATTGCCCATGACATATATTCGAGATGCACGGAGTGCGGTGTTTCCAACACTTAACGTGAGATGCCGAGTCGAAGTGTCATTTATTCCGAAATAGGTCCTTATTCCATCTAAATTAAGTAACAAACAAGAATCGTGTGGTACATATAAGGAATTGTCAATTATCGACGATATATGCATGCGATTTTATAGGTGAGCGATCACCCGATGTGCATAAATAGTACGAAATCGTCATATTTTGTGTTCGCTGACAATTTATTAGTTCGATTTAGTATGAAAATTAAAGAATCAATGTTATATATTGCTGATGTTGAATTTTGACGTATAAAAATGGATCGAAATCGAGGGATATGGGTAAGAGATCAAAGCAATCATTAAATAATCACATAACATTCAAACTATCAATTTATCAATTGCGAAATAAATAACCATGAAAAATGCAACTCAATATTCCCGACAATTTTTTATTTGCGATTTTTATCACCGTAATCATGGCTTATGAAGCATACAACCGGGACATAATAACAATGGAGATGATTTATTCCGTTATTCCCGAAAATACAATAATCTATTCAATTCCAACCACGCTGGATGCGACTATAAAAGTCTTAAAACGGGATATGTTAGCTCTAAAAAATGATATGAATAGAATGCAAAATGAAATGGAATGGAGAAGTGAAGTCCGAAGTCAAGGTTAGTATTACATTCGTGTCGAAACACTAGCTCCGCTATAAGTTTAGCATGTATTTCAGTTATTGATTAACACACATTTCTCATCTAGGGCGAGTATCCGTGCAGAGTCACCAATCTGAATATCCACCCTATTTGATGAGAGAAGAAAAAGAGAGAAGCGGTCCCCCACGAAATTGTACAATGTCATATCCGAAGAAATCAGTCTCAGCCCTGTCACACTTGTCACCTTTTATCGGCACCAGAAATCACCACAACGTACTTCATTAGATAAAATCGAAACCTGAGTTGAAAAAGAAAACCAGAAAAAAGATAACTCGATTATCATTAGTAGCTCTCGAAATAATAATTTTTTAAGTAGTGGTAGTAGTAATATAATTTTAGATGATAATTATGACAATAACTTAGGTAGTAATATGGAGTAGGGAAAGGAACTCTCATTTTATGGGTTAGGGCTCGAGATACTTCCTCCCTCTTTGTTCTTACTCCATATTTCTATCTCTTGAGCCGGCCAAATAATAATGTAGTAAAATTAAATAAAGATATAATTCGCCTGAATCCTGGGCCTTATTTTTAATATTTTAAAAGTAGTTTTTGGTCGCGTGATATGCAAATATTACCAAATCAGAATAATTTCCCCTGAAAAAAATTCTTACTAACACGCGTTTTCTTTTCTTTGTCAAAAAAATTTTCACTTAACTATAATTATGTCTTCATTGTCTTCATCTAAAACGGTACGAAAGTTAATGCGGATAGACTTTCATTTTTTGCGATCTCGGCTTTTTACCTTTTTGTTCATTTCCAAAAATAGGTGCATGAATACTTTGAACAAAGTAAAGTGTCAGATTGGGACATTATTGGATTCCTCACTAAATGTAGCCTAGAACCTTATATGAAAAAAATAGAGTGTTACCTAACGTCCCTCGAATTAATCGCTGATACAAATGATAGTCAAAGTCGTAAAAAAGCACAAGAACTCATAAAACTTTACAAGTAAGCAAGCACTAGAGTTTTTGTGTTTTTAAGTATAGGTGACGTGATAGGGATCTTCAGGATGCCTATCATTCAAGTCTTCGAGATGAGCCACGAAAACAGTGTTGGGGCGCAGGTGCCTTCGGGGTTGCCTGATGTTTAAAAGTCTTCGGGACTACTGATACTGTTAGTCACAGATGCCTTCGGGGTTGTCTGATGGCAAAATGAAAGTTAAATAGTAAATGGAAGTTAGACGGAATGAAAACACAATAAATAAGGATACTACTAATTCCCTAAATTTATTATTTTAGGATAATCGACCTGATAAAAAATGAGCAAAAGACTGGGACAATATACGTTCGTGTATGCGAATTCATATCAACCATCCAACAGTAAACAGTGGTACAATTAATGGTGTTGTTACAGAATGAAAATATAATGATAAAATAATATTAAAAACACCTGCAATAATTTATAATAACCTTTAAGATAA